GGTTCAGCATCAGCCCTTTGGATAGCGGGCATCCCAGCAACTGGAACAAAGAAAATCAGGTCTCTAATCCCCAAATTGTGACTCATTCCAAACCCTGCACAGTTGTGCACCGTTTGTACCTCCGAGAACAGCATCCTGCTCGCTCTCTCTTTTTTGAGCTCAGAGGTAGGGAAGAAGGAAAGGAAGACCTAATTACGTTTTCAATTTTTTTTTTCTAATTTTTTAAACAGGACATGCAAAGCAGCTAAATTCTTCCTCAGGACCCTTAACCACTGCCCTTCTTTCTACTTCTCTGCAACACCAGCTACCTCATGGAGAAAAAAGGGGAGGGGGAACAGATTTCTCATGTTAACACCTGCACAATAGGTTTGCCACTTCTACAGATTTCCTGCTTCCTAACTACAACAAAAAGAGTTATTAGATTCTCATTTTCCCCCACAATAATTCTCTCACATAAGATGGATATAATTCCATGCCAAAAAAAGAAATCAGGCGACTGAATTAAGTCAGTTTCAACTATTTTCTTTTACTCACTGTTGCAGCGTCTCAAAGCCCTGTTCCTTGTACAGCAGCTCTTGCTTCATCTGAGAGAGTTCCCTCTTCAGCTTCTTAACCTTGTGTGTTAAAACAAAGCAAGAGTTAGAAAATTCCTCTTGTTAAACAGTGTAACGCATGGCTTTGAACAATTAATGTATTCGCTACATCAGATGAGACCAAAAAAAAGAGTAAATTGCTCTACTGGCACAGATTAAAAACAAAAGCATCCGTTCTCTTCCTGATGTCTATGGGCACCATGCTTTAGTATTAAAGGGACACAAGCAGATTAAATCACATTCCTTATTTGTATTGATACCACACTGTGTTATTAAACCTGAGAGAACTTTAACAAGTAATTTACTTCTCACTTGTTAAGCATGCATTCCAACCGTCCTACGGGGACATGCCTGTTTATTTTAAAGCTTATTATATTTTCACTTTTTCATTCCATGGAAGCTTTCAAGTCATTTGCACTGTAAAAGACAAAGTGTGGACTCTTCTGCCCCCCCTACAAACCATCCTTTCTTATAAAGGTTTACGGACACTGGATCCCTGGATATATAATTCCTATGCATTTAATTCAAAGACAACAATCACTAAACGTATCTGGATCACAAATAGATGGATCTATTTAATAGCAATGTGTTTGG